CTGCCACCGGAGGTGGTTCAAGCGCCTTCATTGAACACCTTCAAGATGAAACTGGATGCTTATCTTGCTGGGATCCTATGACCCCAGCTGACTTCCTGCCCTTTGGGTGGGGGGCTGGACTCGATGATCTTCCGAGGTCCCTTCCAGCCCCGATGTCTATGAAATCTATGAAACCACCTCGTGCCCGGTGGGAGCTTCATGCGCTTTGCAGACTAGCACTTCGCCCACCACGCCCACCTCAATTGCCTGCCTCTGAACGGGGCCGTCCGTTTTGGCCACCGGGACAAGAGGTGCCGATGGTGCAGCTATGCGGTAGAGACCTTCCCCCATGTGCTGTGCAGCTGCAAGCCACATGCCAGAGCCTGGCAGCTCCATCACAAAGGAATGCCTGGTGAGGGCCATCCCAGAGACAGCGGGGGAGATCCCCATGAACCTCACCGTCCCAGGCTGTGAGAGCCAGATGCGATCCAACATCATCATCACTAATGAAGAGGCCAAGAAGGTTGTGATCATGGATATAACCATCCCCTTCGAGAACTGGCGCCAAGCCTTCATTGACGCCCAGGCTCGCAAGCGGGAGAAGTATGCCCCACTAGCTGACATCCTGAGGGACCATGGCTATGACATGATGGTCGATGTGCTCATCATGGGAACGCTCGGAGCCTGGGACCCCAGCAATGAGAGCATCCTGCGTGCCTGCCGCGTCTCCTGCTGCTACACCAAGCTGATGCGCTGCCTCGTAGTGTCCAACACCATCCGCTGGTCCCGTAACATCTACGTGGAACACATCACGGGCCACTGCCAGTACTCCAACCCCACCAGGTGAACCGGCGCCAGACCGGACCCAAAGGGGACCACCTGAAGCCCCCCTCTGCACCAGATGGACTTCACTTTGAGATGATTCTTCAGCAACGAACGACCCCGCTCCACCTGAAGAGGACCCCCGTGATGAGACTCTATATGGACTGAGAAACTTTCTTTGAACTACTTCCTCCACCATTGCAGACCATTGTACGGGTTTGTGTGTATCTAACCTCTTTCTCTCTCAGTGTCGCGAACCTCCTCCCTCCCCTTCCCCCACCCCCAAACCTCCACCCCTGGGCTTAGTTGGCTAACGTTGTATTGTCTGTAACCTAGTTGCGTTCCCCTCCTCACCCCCATCCCTCTAATGTTAGTCCCTCGCTCGGGCAATTTGTATTTCCCTACTGGCTTTGTCATCTTTTTGGATTCACAATCCTAAACATCTACTAATAAAAGTCAGACTTAACTGATTTGGGTCAAACTGGTTTATGAAACTTCTGTCCCAGACCCCTTCCTGGCTCAAGTTAAATCACAGCCCCAGCATTCCAGAATGCTTTGCAGCTCTGGGCTGGGCTGTGCTGTGCTGTCTGCTCCAGAAAGGAGGGTTGGCCCCACCC